TAGGGGTCGGAGTTCGAGTCCTAGTAGGGTCAAGAATTTTCTCATCTCAATGTCGTCCATACTGGCCCTCCCAGCCTCCTATCTAATGTGTACCGGGAGCTCTTTCCCCTGGGGTAAAGCGGCCGTGACGTGAAGCTGACCACTCACCTGCAACTAATGCCGAGGTCAAGAAAATGTGGATCTGTACGTCCACTCCCTCATACGCCTTCAAGGCTTAATGCTTAATTAGTTAAGCACAGGGACAGCATTACCTTTACCTTTACTGCATTACAAGTCCTTACACACATTTCTGGGAGGTGTTGTCTGCCAGTCTGTGACCTAGTATCACAGTATAAACCGTTGGACATCTCGTTTTGTAGTTCGATATTGGAGACTTTCACTAACAGTAGTCGGCCAATTACGGCTTGCAGTTATTTTGACCCGCGGTGAAGTCTGCTTAATGTCATAAATCGATTCTTTCATGTAGACTATTTTAAACCTTCAATAAGCTTGTCTAAACAGTCTGCAGTTAAGCTTAATAAACTGTAGTCTCATTCCTGGAATAAAAAGCGTTAACATTTTATTGATTGGAAATCCATGTTTTTAAAAGGGCACGTGGCAGATCGAGCTATAGTTTGGAGGAGGGAAAATAACACGTTTTATAGAAAGATCTGAAGATTAATGTCATTGAATTTACACGGAATAACCATTTCCGGTGATTGTGATTAATGTTGGGTTTCCATAACATGCAGCTTCCATAACGGCTACTTGTGTGTTGCTTGCTCGTGGATGTCCCTGTGCCCTGGAGTTGGTGATGGGTCCCTCATGGGTCCTCTGCTTTTGGTGTTCTGTGGCGGTTTTACAGTCGATGCAGTAAATCTGATTTTATGGTTCTCCTGTGTATCAGTCAGCAGGAACCAGTTGTATTATTTTTCAAAGATGCTAATTCCTCAGACGGGACCGTGCTACGATCTTCGATTTGGATTGGTTTGTTCATTTAACGACTCTTTTTCAACTACTCATACATTGTGTAAGATTTGAGGCTTGCAGATTTACCTATACTTTTTCTTCAACCCTGAAGATGGGGGCGATACGTTCCTCCGAAACGTCGGTTAACACCACATATACACGGCGCCAAATCCCAGAAGACTGCTTTCTTCATACTCATACATTGATCGTGTAACGTCGAATAGTAAGGTGGTTTTGAGTGATAAATTGTAAAGGATGTTTTAAGAAGCGGTCATGGTCTTATAGAGGTACTGTCCCAACATTTGCTTAAAGGGACTAAGGAAAACCACAGTCAGGAGTAATGAGAAACCGGGAACCAATTTCCAGCGGGGACAAGAGGTACAGACAGTACATTTTAAGGTTCGTACGAATCCCTGCTGGAGCGCCTACAGTACAATAGCGTCTGTCCGTCTGTGGTATCGACGCATGGGCGTCAGAAGGCACAACTGGACCTTAGACAGGTCTAAATTCTTTCCCGATCCAAGTGGGCATTGTACTTATGCCAAAAGGAGTAAGATGTTTAGCCGCAGGTAAAGAAGGGCGCAGTTCCTTTGTGTAAATATTCTTGTTAACACAGAATTAGTCTAATGTAGCTAAACAAGAAGTTCTGGGAAGAACTAAATGTCTACTTTCCTTCTATACAACACAGATCGCATAGAAAACGACGCCTGTAATATTATCCTCGTTGCCGCGGCAACGTGTTTGCCGAGCCGTTCCCCAGCAACGGTTAGATGATAGACTTACAGAATCTCCGTTGATACGACACAGACCGCATAGATATCGACGCTTCCAACAGTTTTTTTATTGTTGCATGTGTATTCGTTACCTCGGTAACGTTATTACTGAGCCGTTGCCTAGCAACATACGCATACAGACATACAAAGTCAAAGTCAAGAGTCAAAAGCCCCTTGAGAGAGATCATTTTCTTTAACTGAGATCTTACGTGCCATAATATACGTTTCATAAAGATTCTTTCAGGAATTTTGAAGTTAATAGGCGGGTATGTACAGACAAAGACAGCAAGGAGATCGCATAAGCCTACTTTACGAAAGTGGGCTACAAATAGTACTATGCAAAGGTAAATTTTCCCCATGCTTAAGTAATTAAGTACCACACCATGGACATGTATGGGGGAATGGTGGTATAACCCCACTATTTATTATAAACTCGTTACTAGATAGAAGTGAGTGGCCAGCTTCACTCCTTTGCCGCTTTACCTGCTTGGAAAGAGATCCCGTACCCATTGGTAGGAGGCTCGGGGTGGGCCCCATCCCCGATGTGGACACTGGAGAAAAGTATCTTGCCCTGACCTCAACCCGCATCCCGTAACTATACCGACTGAGCTATATCTGTACTATATATAAACATTTAAGTAGCACAGAGTTTCCTCTTTCCCATAGCTCAGTCGGTATAACGTTGGGCTGGTTTCGATTCTCGACCCCTCAGCGCTCAGACCCCTTCTAGAGCCCACCAGCCTCAAATTAGTGAGTACTGGTAGCTCTTCCCCAGGGTTAAGGCGGTCGAGAATGAAGCTCTCTACACTTCAACCTACTGCCTAGGTCAAGAATAGTGAAATTATACCTCCACTCCCCCATACGTCTTCTTGGCGTGATGCTGAGTTAATTAAGCGCAGGGAAAACTTTACCTTACCGACTACCTTTACCTTAAATACTGTCGTTGTAGCGGTGGTGATTTTGTTCGGACCTAGCTCCATTTGTTTAAACGCTGAATATCCGCAACTGCTTGATCCTCTGTTGAAAGTATAGCGACGCTTCGCTCGGATGTTATACTACTTACGTAGCACCCAACCTGAAATTGTTTTGGTTGCGTGTTAGGACGTTAGTCCGTGTCGGTATCCCTATCACGCGAGCGTACCTGCACGTTTCCACACTGCAAACAAAACAATATCCATTGCATCTTAGCAGCTGATAGCGGACCCAGTGAACTCCCTATTACTTCCGTTATATACACGTTTACAGTGGCAATCAGCCCGTTTTGTGTTTCAGTTTTCACTTAAGACAGATGTAGGAAACGACGCGCTAATGGCTCAGCTGTCGAACGTCATTAACTCTTACTGCAGTGGCTACAGTACGGGCTGGACGATTACAGAAGAGTCCAGACCGGTTCTGGGGCCCACCCATCCAACTATCCAGTGGATATCCGTTTCTTCGTAAAAGGTAAAAGTAGAGTTGACCGGTCACAGTGGCTGCGCAGGAACTATCTTCGCTCGCTCGATCGGACGCTGTGATCGTGGGCTCGAATCCCACCTCAGGCATGGATGTCTGTGTTTGTGGTGTCCTGTGTTTAGGTAGCGGCCTTGCGACGGGCTGATCACTCGTCCAAGGAGTCCTGCCGTCTGTGTAAAAAGATTACGAAACTGAAGAAGAGGCCAAGGCCCAACAAAGGGCTGTAGAGCCATTGATGAATGAATGAAAAGTAGAGTTGTAAGATTTGAGGCTTTCACGGCGGTGACTATGAAGAAAGCAGTCTTTTGGGATTTGGCACCGTGTATAAGTGGTGTTAACCGACGTTTCGGAGGAACGTATCGCCTCCATTATCAGGGTAGAAGAAAATATAAGAATTCTGCAAGCGAAGAGACCGTGAGAACCGGTAAAAGCAGTCCAAAGGGAATCACATGCGGTACTCGACAGCATTAAGGAAAATGACTTCCACGGTGCTGTTACGTTCCCAAGGAGAATATTTTGAAGGGTGTGGCAGCCAAAATTGAGTAAGTTAATCAATTTTTTTTTACCTAGTCCGGGATCATAGAAGTGGGGTTTGAGAGTTCGGACCGATTCTTTTTAACACATTAATGAACCTTGGGGTTCCAGAGAAGAAGGTGAATTTCTAGGGTATCTGGGCTGCTATGGTTTCCCAAGAAGGATCGTTGTTCTTGCAGTCTATTAGTTGACATAGTATGAAGTTCATGTAACTGCCTGTTACCTTGCCAGTATAATTTCTTGCGTAGCAGAACGACTGTTGGCTTCTCAGGAGGGGGTCTACTGCATGTAATGTGGTTTGCTCAAGACAATGTACCGTGATGCTGGTGTAGCTTAGCTGCTTACGGTTGTGTTGGCCTAGTGCCCATAAAATTCTTGCGGCGCTTCCGGGAAGTGTGTCTCACGAGGTTAGCTGCTTCCACTGCAGTATGGAGGATGCTTGCGTTATGTATTAATGCGGAAATGGGCGGCAGTTAACAACGAAGCACGGGTATTAGGGGTACTTTCATAGTTACAGGAAGGAGGGGGGGGATCGTCGCTTTTACCCAGTTACAATCGACCTACGAAGGCTAAGGGATGTACCCTTGATTACCAACAGAATATGAAGCTTGTTGCTGGCAACCAGCCAACACGGTTACTCGTGGTATCGGGCCCCGTTGGGACCCATGACCGTATATTTGTTTACTTCGAAGAGTTTTGTTTTCTTCTTCCTTGGACCTCCTTTTCGAAAAAAGCAGAGGTTGGTCTCTCTCTCTCAAGGAAATAGCGGCTCCGGTCTAGAAAACCGAGATTAAGGGCCGTGGGGGTCCGTTGCGCTGACCACGCGACGCCCTGTATCCGCAAAAGTTGGCACTAACTTCGCTGACAAACTGCGGTCAGACCACGAAGTTTGTTTATATGATACTTCTTATGTAAATTCAGATGACACGTCAGAGTAATTTAGTGTATATTTTCATGGTTTCCTCAAGTTCTTTCAGGGTAATTCTGGTATATTACTTTAAATTAGACTGTGTCTGCTTCTTTCCTGTTGCTTTCCGGTTCATCCTTCACAATTTTGCTACATAAGAGAACAATCATAATGCATCAGTTTACAGTACATTGTTATGACGGAGGTTTTGTATGCTGTCTTCTGTCAGTATCATAGAATAGCGGGATACTGCTTTACTCACCGTAGTCTGCATCACTTCTGCTGTTTCGTAATCTTCCTAGTAAGGCGAAGCTGCATGACCTCATGAACGAAATTTACGCATTAGAAAATAGCGGAATGATTGTATTGTTTTCTTTCTTTTGCAGTGCTGTTTGGCTGCAGATCTTGCAATTCAGATTCCCGGTAACCTGAATCAGGATGGGATGTACCGCCTGGACTACTTCCCGCCCCATGGCGTCCCTTCGCCCAATACCACGATCGCCTCCAGAGACATCGGGGACGTGATCGAGTTCAGTCAGGGTCTGCCGGGTACCAAATACGAGTTTTGGCTGTACTACTCCAACAACACGAGACACGACTGGCTCACCTGGACCGCCTCCATCACCACGGGTGAGTTAAGGGCCAAGCCTGCCCTCCAGTAATACGAATCTCGGTGTATTAGTGCCGCGAGAACGAGTGTCAGTTCTAGTATACGCCCAGGAAGTTCGATACCACATCTGTGCTCATAAGAACTGAAAAGAGCCTTGTTTTCGCATGACGGCTATCCGTTTTTCAGGTATTTTCAGTTCCTTCTCCAGTGAGCTGATAGCGGGTAGGTTGTAAAGCGAGCTCAGGAATTTGGAGAACATTTTCTCGATGTCGGGACTTAAATTCGCTTAGTGGGGGGGGTGGAGTCCAACTGGGTTCACTCGGCACGGCGGCCATTGATTGGTCTATCGTACCTGCCCCGGGTGATTATGATGATGGAGAATTTGGTGGAATGAAGATTGGCAGGGGAAACCGAAGTACTCGGAGAAAACCTGCCCCAGCGCCCCTTTGTCCACCACAAATCCCGGGGTCGAACCCGGGCCGCCGCGGTGGGAAGCCAGCGACTAACCGCTGGAGCTATGGCGCGGCCTATTCGGGACTTATGCAGTATACATCTATGGAACGAACCAGTTTACGTCATACCTTCAATAGACAACCATGTGGAAGAGAAGTCCTTTGCATATATGTTTGGATTTCCCACCGGAAGTACTTTGAAAATACAATCTAATGACTTTCTAATGATGGCGTATTGGCCTGTGTTGACAAGTCACCCTCGTTTCGACAGTAGCTGGAGTTTATTATCGGCAAACTTTGGGTAAATTCTGTGTAAGACATAAGTTACGGGTCACGCGATTGAGTGGCTGTAGACGGGGTTTGGATTGGTAATCGTATTCATTGGACTCTTCAAGATTGAAACTACAGGTAAGTGTAGCTCTCGGCCGCTCCATAGCTCAAGCGGTTAGTCGCTGGCTTCCCACCGCGGCGGCCCGGGTTCGACCCCGGGATTTGTGGTGGACAAAGTGGCGCTGGGGCAGGTTTCTCCGAGTATTTCGGTTTCCCCTGCCAATCTTCATTCCACCAATTGCTCCACAATCACCCTCACCTATCATCTGGGGCTGGTACAATAGGCCAGGAGTGGCCGCAGTGCAAGGGACTTAGTCCCACCCCACTAGCAAAATGTAGCGCTTTCGCTAACTCGCATAGTCTGCTGTTCACTACAGGTCGCACTAAAACTTCTTAGCCTGCTGTGTCTTCACCGGGTGTCCCAACGCCGTAGCCCCCTCAGCTTCCGTGTTCCACGGCTGTGGACCTCGTTGATTACATTGTCACGTATGGGGGGGGGGGTACTCGTGACGAAATGACGGGTTATAGTTCGGATGATTGGATTTATTATCAGCTTGGTTACACATTCTTTCTTAATTACACTTAAATACAGCGCTAGCGCTGATTTACATACACCTCATAATTCACTGTTGCACGCACACACTAGTCCTCTCCGGGTAACGCATCTCAGCACTCCAAATATTGCACATGATTAAGATCTTCAAATCAGACTTTAAATCTTCACAGATCTTTACGAACTTCCCGTTGCTGTTACTCTTAGTGTTACTTAAGCACTAACGTATACTGAAACACACTCTAACGCTCTCAAATACTCCAATCTGTTCTGTTTCTAACTGTCGTTACATAGCCTTCGCACTGACCGCGTAGAACACAACCTATACTGTTGTTTACTCAGCGGTCGCATAGTAACGGTCTATTCTTTTAATGTTTGTTTGGGGGGGGTGGGCGCCGGGATAGCTTAGATGGTATAGCGACTGTCTACGGGCTTGACGACCGAGAGGTCGGAGTTCGAGTCCCTGTAGGTTCAGGAATTCTCTCTTCTCCACATAGCCCAAAGAGGCTCTGGAGTCCTATCCACTGGGTACTGGGGACTCTTTCCCCTGGGGGGTAAAGCGGCCGGGGCGTGAAGGCGACCATTCACCTCCAGCTAGTGCCGAGGTCAAGAAAATGTGGATCTATACATCCACTCAACATATGCCTTCATGGCGTAGTGCTTAATTAGTTTAATTACAGGAACTACTTTACCTGGGGGGGGGGGTCTAGAATGATGTATTGAGATAGTGATACTGACAAATTTCGGCTGATTATGTCCTTATGTATTTCTTAAGATTGCCATACCGCGCGGATTATCATGCATGGAAGGATAGGGGACACATTTATCACCGATGGGATCTTAGTGTCGCAGTTCTGTTTTCACTGGTTACAGATTTTTCGATACAATGTCTCGCCAACCTCTTGACATGACTTCTTATTAATGATATTCCCGTCTGTTCACGTAAGTGGGACTAAGTCCCTTGTACTGCGGCCACTTCTGGCCTATTGTACCAGCTCCAGATGATAGGTGAGGGTGATTGTGGAACAATTGGTGGAATGAAGATTACAATTAGTGTTATCCATCTATGTCTCCACAGTCATCTGTTGGACTTTGGCCGCTTCTTCAGTTTGTCGACCATTTTACACAGACGGTAGGACTCCTTGCACGGGGGATCAGCCCCTCGCAAGGCCACTACCCGCACACAGGACAGCACAAACAGGATAAAAGCACACACATCCATGCTTCAAGTTGGATTCGAACCCACGACACCAGTGTTTAAGCGGTCGAAGACAATTCATGCTTTACACCGCGCGACCACTGTGGGCGGCAAAATTGGTGTTACCCTCGGTAATTATGTTATTATCTTGAATGTAATGTATGTAATATACGAGTATTTATGTAGGTGTTGGCAGCATAGCCTCATGCGGGGAAGCATATGTCAATATGGAACGGAGAAGTTCTTTATCAATTACTAACGCTAAATTAATGTCAGTGGTGGAGGATATGTTTAAGATAAGGAACAGTCTGTAATTAGCTTTGAGTAGAATGCAGGATTTATGGATCTTCTATACTAATTTTGAATCAAGTGTAAAGCCAAGATACTTTGTTTCGTTAGTCCAAACTGTGTTTTCGTTAAAAATCTTTGCTGGATGCCTACTGCGGCGACAGTGACGCAGACTTTGGAGAACAGTGTAATTGTGCATTTTTATATTAATCCTTGTTCTCCATTTCCGGATCGACGGTTCTGAAAGACTCAGTTCACAGCCTGGGAACGGTTTCAAAGCCTTGCCTCTGTTTTAATATCACCTAGAATCAAAACAAACTCGGAAGAAGAAGCCGATTAAGCGGCGCACGATTTTACAGCCTCTACAGCTTCGACAAATAGGCTGTGGTTTATCTCGTGGGCCCGCGTGATAATAGCATTGGGACGGACCTGCTGCTATGTTCCAATATGACGTGGCAGGTGCGGCGGACCTACAGACAACACCGCTGTTGTGTGACGTAACTGTTGTCGCGGAGGAGCGTTTATTGCGCTATTGCCTAGCAACGAGTCTCGGCTTTTAGCAAAGACATTACAATATGTATAATTTACAACTTCTATTAAAGACGTTTTTCTCAAGTTAATATTTTGTAAGATACTTCGATAGATGTGCGTCTGTTTAGACCTCTCAGTGGATTAAAGTAAATGGAACGTAATTTGATAGTACTCGTTTAATAGAAATTATGTATAACATGTTTCATCAAAATAAATAACACCAAAATGTAAGCGTACTTGTTTAATCGCATGGGTTCCTTTCTGCCCTTAAATGACCCTTAAATAAAAGTAAATTAACTTACACATTGATATATTGGGTTTCTGGACTTTATCCATCGTCCTGGTTTTTAAGATAAATAAAAACACGACGTTTCGGAAACTGGATCTGTTTCCGACCTCAGGTGAAGGAAAAGGGAAACACCTATTAAGGTGATTGAGGCTAGCTCTTTCTAACGGACCCAACAGAATAGGTGTGTGGGAACTGCCCACAGTCAAGCAAGTGTGACAACGCAAACGTCATTGCTTAGCAACAACGAGTAAACAACGGTTGCTAGGCAAAAGCAAGTACACAGCGGTTGCTAGGGAACTAGTAAACACGGTAACCAGCAATAGCAGCACCTATTACGTAACCGTTTTCCATATGTCCGACTCCAGGCTACATAAGAAGATACACTGACTTGCAGTGACAGTCTAGAG